AGTCAAATTTCCCAGCAACCATGAGATCATTAACAGCAAATTTTAAGCACAATGGTGAACATGCCACCTTTACACCTCAAATCGATCTCAGATCCATTGGGCCACAATTGAAAAACCCGGTCCACACAAATCAGGATTTGTTTACGTTGGTTTTTGTTTACTTTGCCGTGATCAAGGACTGCAAACGAATTTTGTACTGACAGCTGACTATCTGCCTATGCGTTGTTGTCTAAGTTTTACCGCTCTTTAATTTCACATCTCTCAGCTTTAGAAATCCACTGAAATATTGTTTTAATTGCTATTATTTCATTTAATTTTTATCAAGACAATCTTTATTCAGTTTTCTTTAGTATACAAGATATATTTAAGATATTAGTAACATCAGCTGAGCATTCTCGGAAACTTTAACTTGGCATCGGTGCTGCCTTTCATGGGATACGATAAACACGAAATTGTTATGGCAAAGGGACCTGCTTACATAAAATTGCATGATATAGGATTGCAGCAGGAGATGTGATAAGTGATGTTACTTTACATATCACATCCACATCTATATGGGCCGAAAACAACATTTGAACCGCGTCCTGGACAACGCCACCCCAACGATCACTTCTGTACTTGATATAAAACAAACACCATTCGTTGTTTCGACACATTTTATTCATAAACACAGAATTTATGATGTTTATTCAAAGAAATTTCAATTTCATGTGTAGTATTACAGCTTACGTATATGCCCATATTTCTCTCGTCATATGAATGCAGTACTTTACTAACCGCAGTCGTTCACTCATTTCAGTTCATTTTGCTACTCATTCGTCTTAGCGGCGTCAGGGAGGGCGCCGTGTTGGTAGGGCACCAGGTAAGGGTGTGTATATTACATTGTTTCTGATGATTGGGAAATTCATGTATCAGCGCTATCACAGAAGGCCCTAAAGCACATTTTCAAGTGTGTTGTGGCGTGCGCTCAAATTTTGCGCTAACATGCATTAACTCAGGCTAGGGCAAGCTGCACTGAATGTTCTTATTTGTAATGTCTGCCCTCACCTTGGGACCATAAATACTCCCTGAAATATTGGCTCAATTGGTGGCAACCTTGTGCCAAACTCAATGCAAGGTTTTTTTAGTGCACATGCCCTGACATTTTTGGATTGTTTCTACTTTGCCAGACATATTTGGCACAACATGTATATTTTTTAACAGCCTGGGTAAGATAACATACACTTCTTCAGGATCTATCAATCAGCCCAAAAAACCTTCTGATGTTGATTGGCCTAACACTCCAATTGTCTTATTGTTCAGGATCTGCAAAACACTGGAGCAATGGAATCCAAAGTGATGGAATAGCATATGATACACAGTGAGAACTAGAAGGTGAATAAGAAGCATTGCATTGAATTAGGGCAAAATGGACAGGAAGATTGTGCCCATTGGATTGATTTTTTTGGAAAGTTTGTAAGTAATGTTTTGACAAATGGTGAGTTTCTACAATGCTGTTAACAAGCATTATAGTCATTGCACATTAAGGTGTAAAAGAAAGGATGAAAGTCTTCATGAAATAGCAATCTGTGATATTTTGTCTAAATGGAGTCAGTGATATTGCTTTGATATTCTTTGCTGTGGTGTTATACATAACTTTGTCATTTATCATTATGGGCATAAACATGTCCAAGATAATAAAAGGATACTGAACTGAAAAGACACTTACTGCTTCCTGTTGGCTAGCGGCATGAGTGGCAGGCAACTTATAGCTAGTTTGTTGACCAACTAATGGGCAATTACCAATGAAAGGTCCCAGAATATTATTTGTGTGGAATGAAAAACATACCACTCCTCCTTAAAGTTTGTAAAATTAATTCAACTTTCCTCAAGTTCCAATCTCAAAGCAGATGTCCTAAGACCTTCATAAATTACCTGAGATCTTCCAGGTTTTAGGAATTTTTAAATTAAGGCCTTGCCAGTTGAAACTGTACTTGCAAGACTGTTATCAAGTATTAACCCCCCCCACCCCCCAATATTTCCTGACAACTCTACTAAGTTATCCTTTTTGTGGTACATGGTTTCAACCACATAGCCATCACATGTAATTACACACTGTCAGAAGAAACCTATGTGCTCAGTAAGGAACTAGATATTTGTAGCATACATTTAGTTACTGAGTGGATTTATGCATCCTAAATTCATTATTTTAATTTGTGTGCACACCATTTTTAAACCTCTCACCCTCTCCTCATGGCCAGCTATGGGGTTGGCTCTCTTGGTCCTGTAGGTAGCCCATCAATTAGTGGTAGCTGAAATCCAAATTTTGTTATGATATTGAGGTTTTGATATGCCTGCTGGTCTGATATTTAACAAACAAAGATCACAATGTTAAAAGCTAGTTTGCAATGTGTTTGCCATGAAATGGGTTACATCACAGCTGTAAGACACCATCAGGCATCTTTGTTCTAATACATTCATTGCATTTATGATTAGAGGTTCCTTTCGACTAAATGTGATTTGGTTAACTTTGATTTCCTTTTCCAAATCTGAGGCCTAACCACCATGTGTTTTACAGGGATTGAGATTGGCTTTAGGATCACAAGTGCAGTATTGCTCAGACTATCATCCTCATCTGACATGTATGGCTTATGTGCAATCCTATCCTGGTGTTTTCAGTGGGGCAACTGGTCTTTCAATCAGGAAACATTGTTTAAATCCCAGCAATTCTAAGGAGATAATCAAATTGTGACACATACATAGCTAAAAGCAATGATCTTCCATTCCTTTGTGCACTGCATGATGCCTTATGTGGCTGGGATTTAATGGCTGAAACACTATGTGTCTATAGCCAGACGCCCAGACATGTCATAGTCTGAGCAATCATTTGATTCACTGATTGTATCTGATTGTTGGCCTATTAAGGGAAGTTTGAGTTGTAAGAGGATTTCTTGATCGCTATAATTCTGCCCTCCAGCATCATTCACTTTGTGGGTGCTTGGTTGCTGGTATGACTGCTCAGTTGACCCACCTGAAACCAGCCCTCAATGACTATCAAACTATGAGGTTTATTGTGACAACATCCGCCTCATTCACAGTGCTTTGATTGAAAACATGAATTTGTCATGCAGAGTTTCTACCACATTTGTGCATGATCTTCATAGGAGGTAATTCCAAGCACTGAAAGTGGAGGCCATTGCATGCCTTTTGGTCTTAAGGGGAGTAGCATCATTGGCTGAGGTGCAGATCCAGATAATTGCCCTGGTGGGTTAATTGGAAAAAAGGACTTCTAGTGACATTTGCCTCTCATATTTTGTGCAAACAGTGAGGGACAAGACATTCCAATTTATTGCATGCCAATCCCAATCCCATCACACAATGTGCGAGATCTTGACCTTTCTAATAGCAACTTTGTTGCTGCAGAATTATTTATCTGCAAGTGATTGTCTTAGATTGCTCCCTCCTATAGCTGCCAAGATATGCTGTGCTGGGATTGATTTTGACAAGTTTGTTAGCACATTTAAGGACATACCAGCAGGCAATGTCATATTGCAGGGAAAGAGTTCTGGACATACTGGACATACTGGACATACATACTTGAGAGCTTGCATTTCGCGTCATTGCTGCAGTTGGCGTTCGCTGCCTTCAGCACCGATCACAGCGATTACGGAAAATCATTGCAGCTGCGTTGTGGCTATGCTCCAAATCGTGTACTAGGATAGATCTTGGTATGGATATGCAGTAAACATCTCCAGACATCCTGTTCCGCTTTTGGTATTGAGCCAGTGTTCCATCGTTCCCTGTGTATTCGGCGTGCAAAATCGCAATGTGAAGTGAAGAACCACATGGTAAAAAAATATATGGAAATTTATACCACAGACGCATAGTTCTGCGTCTCATTCCACTGTGCCAATCCAACTGCAGTACGGTCTCCTCGTCGCAATGATGCGCATAGAACCCCGGCTCTCAGAATCTACGTTGCAAATGTAGCTGTCCGGTAGCTCTGTTGGACAGAGCGCCGGCGGCCGGTGGCTGCGGTCGCGCTAAGGTCAAGTGACGTCAGAGGGGCGGGGGCCGTGCTGAGCAGTGTGGCACGTTAAGCTTTCACCGCAAAATCTGTCGTTGACCTGGAATTTCGCGATCGGATGGCGGAGTCAGGGCTCACACAACAAGCACTGCTGAGCGTGGGTACTGACTGCGCAAGGCGACCAACTCGAAAGGTTCGAACCAAACTAGAAATGTTCGGTGTCACAGATAGTTATGTGGGAGGTATCGTAATTCTTCGTCGCTGAAACGCGCCCAGTGCGTACTTTTGTCAGATTCCCTGCGCGATCAGGCGGATTTTTGCTGTTGGCGTGTACGAGTTCCCTGTGCCTGGGTTTTTGTATGCAAATGCTGTGCACGGTAAAGTGTTAGTTCAGTGGGGATGGCTAAGCCGTCATTCTTCCACTTCGAAGTTCTTGCGTTGCAGCCATGTGGCGTTGATCATTATCGCTTTCTCTTGTTCCAGGTATAATGTGACTTTTCCTTTCCTACGGGAAAAGCCATCAGTAACCATGTCCGTTCTTGAAGGTGAGTTTGATGCAGCGACAGAACCCCAGTTAACCCTCGGTTATGCGTTGCCATGCTAATCGATACACATTCGTGTCTGTGCCTGATCGTACAGTTCGCCATGCCGCTATGCACTGCTCCGAAAATTGTCGGCGCGTTTCTGACTAGCGAGACGTCGTATCGCCGCACCCCGCTTTCCTCCCTCTCTCCCTGCGTCTGGCGCTGCGGCGCCTCGCGCTCACCGGCCGCGCTGTAGCAGCATCTGCGACAGGAGGGCTGGCGTGCGCGCTCAAACCAAGGCTATTTCCGGGGGCGTGTGCCGTGCAGCACGGCAGGGCTTTGCGCCCGAGCGGCCGAGCGGATTGCGAATAGCCTGGCACCTGTCGCTCCGATTGCGGGAACGGCCGGCTAGCCCAGGCCCCGATACGCCCGGCTCAAGGCTGCCCGGCCGCCGGCCCCATGCAGTCAGTCGCTTCCCGCATGTCGGACCGGGTCCGATGTGGCGGCGAAAGTCACCGGCGGCCGGACGGCCCGTGAGCTGTCGCAGCTCCCGGCCCGGTGATCAATACGGATGATACGGCCGGCTACCTCTTGCATTGTCGCGTCAGGCGGTGGATGCTCATGCATTAAGTCATAGGATTGTGAACGGAGATGGTAAAGGTACGGCCAGGTAGACATGCAGCACATGTGTTGAAATCGCTTTACGGGATTTAATCCGTTTTGTTAGTCTGCAGAGGAGTGTTCATGGCCTTTTGTTTGCTGACAATTGCTGACAAATCCTCCCACGGGACGGCGTGGAGCCTGCCGTGCCGGTTAGGGGAACCGCGGGAGTTCAGCGGTAACATGAGCTAGGACGGAATGATATCGCCTGGAATCATCCCCCCCACCCCCCCCTCTCTACCAGATCCTTCCGCCAGATGCTGCCACGTCGGGTCGGTCCTGTCTTGTGGGCCTAGCTGGAACGTCGTACTCGTGGTCTGCGGCCATTATTTGCCTTTGTAGCCCGTGGTCCATGCTTAGTGGTGTGACCTCTCTCAGTACGTCGCGGGTAGCTCGCGTGGACGTATTCTAGGCAGTGCGATTAATTAACCATGACTCTTTGTTGACACTCTCGCTCTGACTCTTTGTCGACTCTTTGACCCACTTCCCCTTCTAGCTTCGGACGATGGTGGACGAGAACATGTAGCTGTCGTGGTCTCGCATGGTACGCGTTTTCGATCGTTGATTAGTGCATGCGGCGATGTCGTTAGCTAATGAGCAATCGCTGTAATTGGTTCGTGAGCATCACTAACCTGCCGGGCAGGGTGCTCGTGTGCGATTCGTGGTTAGGCTGGGGGTAGGCAACGTTGCCCCATCCATGTCCTTTCTAAGTGTAAATTAGTGAATTTGACGTAACTATTCATCGCTGGCTGTCGTGTTCCAAATCCATCCCAATGTACTTTGTCACCTAAGTGAGTTAAACCATTGTGAATAGCGTGGGCAATCACGTGCGGACCGAGTGTTTCGTGCAAAGGCAGACGATGCCTGTTTGTAAAATTTCCATTATAGTCTCATTGGGTCTTTTATGGCACGTGAATGAGCAAGAGGCGGCAATGATAAGGGAAGGGTAGTGACTGCCCCAGGTTCGGACCATAGCTAGGATTGACTCGCGATTGGAAAAATGATCATAATCATTACTCATGACACTTCTCGACTGCATGTCAACCCACGACTCACTTCTAGTTGCTTTTATTTATTCGTAAGAAATGCCGATAGGAAATGCGAATAGCGTGCCTTCATGGCTCTGCTTGCCAGGGGCGAGACAAATAACGTGGAAAACATTTCTCTTTGCCGTTGGATAAGCGTGGGATCCGTAGTTACACCGCCCGCTTCTCCCGTACAGCGGAGACATCCCCTATTCAGGCTGCGTCGTGAAATGACTAACAAGCGCGACCATTCACAGGGTAGCCGCCAGCTTGTCAGATGTTTTTACAGGAGACATCCGCACGTAGCCGAGACCATGTTATCCAGTGACAATGCATCATCTGTTGGCTGCGTTTTTTGCCGGACAAAACGAGACGAAACTGCTATCGCAGTGAAAGCAGAAAGGCTTCTGGGATAGGTAGCCGCGCTGTCGTATCACTATCACAGCCGCATACGCCACTACGAGAATGCCGAACATCGTGCAGCGAGGCGTCAAGTAGGAATCCATTCTGGAGCGTCCTGGAGAGCCACTGGCCTTGTCCACATCCCCCACTGTCTCTGCGGCCCGCCGTCGCGGCGCGTGCGGCGCCGCCGGCTTCAGTGGTCGCACTGAGCCGTGCGCCCCGACTCGGCAGAGGCGGAGCGGGTGCTGTCGGCGCTGGACCGGGTGGGCGGCCATCTGAAGGAGAGCGGCGACCCGGCGCTGTCGGAGGAGGTCGGCGCCCACCTGAGCCGGCTAGTGGCGCTGCTCGAGAACCCCGCCTTCGGGCGTCTGCTCAAAATACAGGTGAGCCGTCAGTGCCGCGCGCGCCGCCGCGTCCGGCGCGTGCACCGCTGCACGCTGCACGCCGCCGGCCGCGCTGTGTGGCGGGGACTGGCACGTCGGACGGGGTCGTGCTGCTGTGCTGCGCGAGCTGCCGCGTGAGCGACGTCCAGAAAAGCTCCGTGGTGGGAATAGGCTGGATTACTGTGACAGTGAGGGATTGTGAGGCTTTCAACGGCTGTCTCACGCATGCCGCGCACAACAGTGTTTTTGTGCATGCTTATTCGCCAGGTTCTCCTATTTCCTCTGGCTCTGTGCCATGGCTCTTAGTCGCATAGTGTGTGGTGAGACGCGATACGTGGCGACGTGCCTTGCACAACGATGGGCGTGACAGGCAGGTCTCACTCTGCCGTGCGCCCGGATGTTCGGTGTGTCTTGCTCCCGGTCATGACATGAAAGCTCAGCATTTCCAGGTGTCGCAGACCTAACGGTCGCGCGTCCCTTGGTGGCGTGTTGCGGTCGCTCCTTTAAAAGCTGTCAGGCTTGCCCGCGCGGTATTGGTCGATCAATCGTTAGGCTATTCGTTCAGGTCGCTTATCGACACGTTGTTTATCGACCAACTGGTAGCTTGTCGACCGTTATCGATCCTGGGGCCATCAGTGTCACCACACATTCATAGCAACAACCTGACCCCGCGAAAGTGTCTCGCGGCGGGAATCGAACCCAGACCCCCCGGTCTGCGCTTCGCCCGCCCGACCAATGACGTTCCGGCCGCCTCAGGACTCGCTGCAGCGGCTCAAGGCGCAGCTGGCCGCGCACCCGTCGCTGGTGCCGTCCGACTTTGACATCGTGGCCGAGACGGGCGACCTGGAGCTGGCGCTGACGCCGGCCTCGGCGCCGCTCGCGCCGCTCGCGCCGCCCCGGCCGCCAGCGGTGGCGCCGCGCGCGTCCCCCGGCCAGCGGGCCGCCTCCACGCCAGGGGCCGAGCCGGTGCAGGAGAAACGGCTGGAGAATGGGAAGGAGAGGGAGCGGGAGCCGCAACCGCAGCTGGAGTCGAAGCGGGAGCCGGAGCTGGAGTTGCAGCGGGATCCGGAGGTGGAGTTGAAACGCGGGTCGGCGTGCGCAAAGGAGCGGGAACAAGAGCTGAAGCCGGAGCCAGAGTTGGAGTTGAAGCCGGAGCTGACGCCGGAGCTGACGTCTGAACTGGGGCAGGAGCTTGAGCTGGATCAGAAGCCGGAGCCGCAGCCGGAGCCGGAGTTGAAGGCCGAGAGGCAGACGGTGGTGGAGGCCGTGTCGTCCTACCTCGTGGACGCCCACCACAGCAGTGAGACGGTGAGCGCCCTGAAGAGCCTCGTCTCTGCTTGTCTGGGTGCTGACATAGTAATACTGGCATGCACAGAGTCTTCGACGGCTGGTCGTAGATGCGTTGTTTATTACCTGTGTGTCGTTTTGCTATTTGTGGTACGATTGCTGATCTGTTTGTTTGATGGAAGACGCTGTTGTTTCCGACGTGATCTTGGTCTTGTTCAGACCGGTTTCTTAAAGATGGTTATTGGTTCACAAGGTCGTCGTATTTGCTTTTAAGATGTCATGAACACGACCTTTAAAAGGCGCTGTTCAAGTAACGTATATTCATAATGCAGTCGTTGATCCAAAGCCCATCATCAGAGCTATCATTCTGTCCAGCGCCATGGGTGCTCCTGGTACATCCTGGAGTCAGCTCCGACGGCGTTGTCGTATCAAGGATAGAAAAGCGCACCAGCTGTCAAACGCAAAGTGCCGGACATTCCACGCTTTTCAAGTATTTGCTTTTCCTATCCGAACGATTGGCCGATAACGATTTCATAGACCATTGCGGGTCGTCTTTTTCACGTTTGGACTCTGCACATTTATGGCTGTGTTTGCCTCCATGGCCGATGTTTGCACCCTGGCGACGTACGGCTGCCTTGACTGGCGGCTGCCTGCTTCAGCTGAACGCGAGTGGTCGGCCCGAGCCGCCAATCATGACGGGCGCCTACGAGAGGGAGCTGGAGCGTGTGATCGCCGAGGCCGCCAAAGGTCGCCAGGTCATCCCGATCCAGGTAGGACGTTCGTGTGGCGCACGGGCCGTTGTCAGCCGGGCGCGAGGCCCAGCTGTGTGCGGAGGAAACACAAGTAGGCTCGACGGTCGATAGGTGGTAGAGTGGTGCGTCGGAACGTTCGTTTTTTCGTGCGGAGACCTTTGAGAAGAATGGATGCTGATTTGTTTGTTAACACATACATTTGTCTCCACTTAAGCTTGATTTTTATGTGTGTCTTCACGCGCTCTCTAAGATGGATAGTCCGCTCGGACCCTCGCGCGTGACGGTTCGTCCATCGAGCCTGCGATCTATGTGCCACCTGGTGGCTAAACCGACCACTCTCGCTTCCAGCTGTACAAACAGGAGGGCACTAGCTTGGGCTTCAGCGTTGCTGGGCTGACGAGCGAGCTGAACCACGAGCTCGGGATATTCGTACAGGGCATCCAACCGGACGGCATCGCAGCCAGGTGAGTTCCGCCGCCAGCTCTCGACCTGCCGCTGTGCTAGTCCCC